ACTTCCCATATTCCGGCTGTGAATTAGGTACGATTACTTTAACACAGGAAATAAACCTCAATTATAGTTGCGTAAACAGCGACTGTACCGTTGCGGGTCAAACTTCAAAGACAAAACTGGAAATAATGTAAAACTTCCCTTAAATACCTCAAAAGTAAATACTTTCTGAGCCGATCACAATGGCCGCACAGTCGAGGCATGAACCGTCTTCCCCCGCTCAAACACTGGGATCGTGGGTTGGAATCCCATGTCTGTTTGTGTTGTTCTGTGTTTGGGTAGCGGCCTTGCGATGGGCTGATCCATCGTCCAAGGAGTCCTATTGATGGTGTATAGGATTAAGGAACTGAAAAAGAGGCTAAGGCCCAACAAAGGACTGTAGAGCTGTAGGCATATTTTCTAAATCAGCCCTATATTCGCGTGAAAATTCCATTACTCGAAATAGTTTCTAACAAAATTAGAACTATTCTCTGAAAATGACTTGGAGTTTGTGGGCATTGTGCCCACAAATTTTCACTGTTTCCCCATCCGTGGAAACAGCACCACCACAAATATTGGCAATATTTTACAACCGATCATAGACTTGCTGACAGCAATATACCGTAAATTAGACGTTGACCCGACACACGAGCCGTCACGATGCTGGCCTGTGCTACTGTTCACAACGTGCCTAGTCGCCAGAGGAAGGAACGTTTTAAACACGTTCTAGAAGTGACCACGACTCTCCCAGTTTCCGCCACTAGTCAACGGTGGCACAAACGCTTTAAAGAGCGATCAAGTGGCCAGTGAGATGGCTGCAAACAGCAACGCCACGTTGAAATGTTCCCTGTTGCTTTGTATGTGCTTCTGCATTACAATGAAGGTGAAGATGAACTGGGGCGGGGACCTCGGGGTGCTGAGGAGAATACTTAGGCGTAAGAAGGCTGCGTGAATTTGTAAATTTGTATAATAAGAAGTTTCATAATTTACCAAAAAACAAAAAACAAACTCTGTGGCCTGTAGTCGGCAAGCGAACTACACCGACCGAGCGACCGCCTAATATTATTAGGATGATTATATTGATGAAGTTGAGATGGACAGCATTTAGCATGGATGGGGCACGAACGAAATGGTTACGAAATGTTAGCCCCATATTTAAAGGGAAGAGGCCAAGTTGGACATTCTGGTAGTAGATGGGAAGATAGTAGACCTTCAAGGAACTGGAAGTGAGGATGTGGACTGGATTCAGCTGGCATGGTGATAGGATTCGGGAGAAGGCTCCATAAAAGTCGTAGAATTTATTGAAAGCGAAGCGACCATCAGCTTCTCATAAAGGACTTTGTCCGCAGAGACAGTAAAAATTTTCATCTAGTTGGGTGTTGGAGCCGGTCACGGTAGCTGCGCGGTCTAAGGAATGAAATGTCTTCGCTCGCTTGGAAGCCGGGATCATGGGTTCGAATTCCACAAAAGGCATGGGTGTTTGGGATGTGTATGTGTTCATTTTGTGTTTGTGTTGTCCTGTGTTTAGGTAGAGGCCTTGGGACGAGCTGATCACCCGCCCAAGGAGTCCTTATGTGTTCATTTTGTGTTTGTGTTGTCCTGTGTTTAGGTAGAGGCCTTGGGACGAGCTGATCACCCGCCCAAGGAGTCCTTATGTGTTCATTTTGTGTTTGTGTTGTCCTGTGTTTAGGTAGAGGCCTTGGGACGAGCTGATCACCCGCCCAAGGAGTCCTATCGTCTGTAAAGTGATCAAAATGAAAAAAGAAAACCTAGTCACCGCAATGTATAAGAGGAAGGGATTAACTAAGTAAGTGTTGGAAAGAGCAAACGTATTTTACCTAATATTAAGTCCACATTTACGACTTTTCAATAAGATGCTGTATCAACATTTTGCAGTTTATGGTATTTGTCAGGGCCCTGCTTTGAAAATGGTGATTTAACTGCCTACTAAATTTCGTGTGACAAAGAGTCTGTGATGAAAGAACCAACAGGATTGGTTTCTTTTTAATTCAACGCAGCGGTCTATTAAACAGCAGTCTTGAAATATGGTCATGAGCCCAGAAAGGGGGTTGACACCGTGACTTGGACAGCGTCACGGAAGTAATGGGCTCACTGTTACACTGGCCAGCACTGGTCAAGAAGACAGACCAGTGCGGACCGTTCATCTAACGACTCCTGCCGACACGAGGTCCCAGTTATTTGATAAGACCATTTTTTAAACTAGTAAATCTATGCGTATAAATTGAAGTCTTTCATAAAGACAAATTGCTATTAAATTAATTAATGAATAAACATTTCCCAGTTGGAAGTTTATTATAATTCCTTTAGGTATTAATTGAATTGTTGGGGCTTAAATAATAATGTGCCCTAGAAGTTTATACCGGTAGCAGGACGGATATTATAAACAGTAATCCGAGCTCTTGCTGAAGTGGACATCGCTCTACTTACGGTATAACTTGGGGGGCATGCGGTTGCGAAATTGGTTGAGGCTCTATGCTACAAGCCAGAAGGTCGCGGGTTGGGTCCCGATGAGGGCACTGGATTTTTAAATTAACCTAATCCCTCCAGCCGCGCTATTACCCTGGGGTCGACTCAGACTCTAACAGAAATGAGTACCAGGAATTTTCCTAGGACATAAAAGGCAGACGGCGCGTAAGCTTGATGTGGTTGACTCATATGGAATAAAGTGTAGGCGTAATGAGGGGGCAGTGAGACCATGGGGCTACACAGAATTCGCTTATGAAACATGTGTACCCCTAACCGGATGTTCTATATTTCATTATTCAACAGATGCTGTGTACTGCTGGCTCGTGTATCGGTGTGTTTGCATGTCGTGGTGGGATGAAGACTGGTATTCAGGAAGGAAGTCTACTTTCGCTGGATCGCAGGCGCCTTCCCGGAATTACATGAGTAAACCACAAACAGTCCGCTTCAGGCTTGACGGGATATTGCGACATAACTTGCCGGACTGCTTCAGCATTTATACATGTGCGGTAAGTAAACACATCTGTTATCCGAGTTCCTAATTAATTAATTCCATGACCAATGCACCTTAAGCAGCAGATAGACTGGAGCTAGAAGAAGTTTTATCAACACACAAATCCTGTAAAGTTTGTTATTAATTTATAATTTAATGTAAAACGCCAGGAATACGTGATTAGATCAGTAAACGGGAACATGTTCACTGACGGTCTTCCTCAGAGAACTGAACTCTATTGTTGTTCTCATTTCTCAAAGAAATGAACATGAAAGCTTAAAGTCGTGTAGCACACACACGGAGAAACAGCCAATGATTTCACCGACGATATAAAGAAACTTTATTTCAAGGGTGTGAAAAGTTCTGTGGTTTAGTTGTCAGAGTTCCTCCCTACAGATCCAGAGGACCAGGGTTCGATTCCCGGCGCTACCAGATTTTTTTAGAAGTAGTGGGCCTGGAACGGGGTCTACTCAGCCGCGTGATGATAATTGAGGAGCTATTTCAACGAAATAGCGGCTCCGGTCTAGAAAACTGAGATTAAGGGCCGTGGGGATCCGTTGCGCTGACCACGCAACACCCTCTATCCGCTAAAGTTGGCACTAACTTCGCCGACAAGCGGCGATCGCTTGGTCGGTATAGTTCGTATGCGGACTACAGGCAATGGAGTGTGAAAAGTTATCAACAAAACTGCTATTTGTCATACCAGCTGGTGGCTGAAGTAGAAACTGCTGGTGGTCGAACTTGACAATTGCTGAACTGGACTTGCTTAAGCCTATATCCTGAGTCAGTTCTCATTTCAACACCCTAATTATGAAATATCTATTACACACGTTGAAGTTTTACAACCAAATTGTATTCATTTCTTGGTTCCCGTGTATGCAACGTGTCTTGAAAAATCCAAACCTTCTTCATTAACCACTATAGAACATGAGGCACAAGTTTGTAAAACTCTTTCGGGCCTATGTAAGTAAAACACACAAAACCAGGGCTACATTTTTGCTGTTGCTGTGTAGCACAAACCTGCTGGTGTGAAGACGATTTCCATCATGCAGAATCTTGAGCCGATGGAAGGGCAAACACAGGTTTAAAATAGGCTTACAGACCCTAACCGAGTAGGCCTATACAGATAGCCTATAGGAGCAGGTCAGCTTCGCCCTGAGTCGAGGACAGCCGTGAATCCCCAGGCAGGACAGCCGTTTCAATCGCGGGAGTTGCTGCGATACTTTCGAATCTCAACGGGATAGGCACGGTCCACCCTGACAGATGTGTTTCATGGTTTTACTCACACTCCGAGAGAACCCTGGATTACACGCCATGAACACCCACTATTTTTCACATTTCTCTTTCTCACATAGAAACACATATCCATTCGGCAGGGCTGATACAGAGGTTTAGGGCCCACTATCATGCAACCCCCTCCTGTTTTGCAACCGATCAATCTATCCATTGATGAACTTAAATGAAAGTCATTAAATAATCAAGAAACGAACGAAATCAGTTTTACTAACGGAACTTTGGAAAGGAAATTCACGCCAAAATACTGTAAGCATTTCTTGGTTCCCTTACAAAATTCTCTTTAATCTGATTGGCCTAGTTACTATTATCTGACAAACAATATGACCCAAAACCCCTTTTATGAAAAGTTGTTAATCAGCTGTGAAGAATTTCTCTACCTTTATGGGACGAAATGTCCACCACCGTATTCAAATAGGCTCGTGATTTGACCTGATCCTGAGCCACCTGAATCCACATCCTATCCACTTTAGTATTATCCTCCCGTCAACTCCCACACGTGGCCTCTTACTGCCATGTTTCGTAAGCACAATATTACGTTTACTTCTGATGCTGTGAATAACCCTACCAACATGACGTGAGCAGGTCCATTACGTAATTTTCTACGTCCTGTTCGTTACGTCCACATGTTCTCCTTAACGCCTTTTCTCAGATATGTATAGATTTCAACATTATCCGACACATGTATGTTTAGATGCTTCCTCGCAAAACGGCACAGTACAGCAGCTGACGTCACACAGCACACGTGACTCACCTCGCTCTCGCGGCTCAGCCTCCTAAAAAGCTCATCGGACTCGAACTTGGACTTCTGGTCGGGGACCACGCGAGGCATCTTGAAGATGAAGCGCGGTTTAGGCTGCTCGTACAGACCGATGGAATCAAACGGCAGCATTCCGGCCAGTGCCGCAGGGTCGTTCATTGCGTGCATGTCACCGGCACAGACCTAAACTGAACACTGCCGGAGAGCGGTCCCTCCGCCAGCCTCGGTAAACCCCCCGATCTATCTGCCACGCCTACCGCGCGCTGACATCATAAACATGGCGGCTGGCATTCCCCGTTCGCCAAGCAGGCAGTTTCATGATACGTGGAATTAGATGAGTCCAAGAGACTTTTTCTCAAGAAAACTAACTCAGAGATAAAAACATTTCCTTTGATTGCTCAACAAATGCATTTATGGAACCCAATGCAGTGTTTAAAAATACTGAGCCTGAGCCAGACAAATCCGGGCAAGACTTTCTTTTTCCGTCCTCGACGATCAAAATTAATATTATCATTCTATATTCTCTTAAGTCCCTAAGCCATTGCTCAAGCGGTTAGTCGCTGGCTTCCCACCTCGGCGGTCCGGGTTCGATCCCGGGTCTGGTCAAGTAGGACTTGTGGTGGACAAAGTGGCGCTAGGGCAGGTTTTCTCCGAGTACTTCGGTTTCCCCTGCCAATCTTCATTCTACCAATTGCTCCACAATCACCCTCACCTATCATCTGGGGCTGGTACAATAGGCCAGAAGTGGCCGCAGTACAAGGGACTTAGTCCCACCCCACTAGCAATAAAAAAATAATAAACAAAAAGCCTACAAACTGTGACAGTGGGGTACAAAGAAAATATTATAAATTACTTAAATTCCCGCTTACGTAAGTTCCCTTCTTTCTCGTCAGCTTTCCTAAATCATAGCAGTTTCCAAAAAACTCAATTTAAATGAGACCAAAGCTATTTCAGTTTAGTAAATAAAAAGGATTAACAATAAACATAAGAAAGAGGGTTTTAACAATAATTCGCAATTACTCCTCAATGTTTATACTGTTAAGACGAGTGTAAACGTACAAGATCTTAGCTTCTGATGGTAGGACCCAACACATAGGCCTATTTACAGGCTCCAAAAATATCCCAATTCCGGTCTTTATTTATTTTTATTAACGTAATTTTTAAAGGACTAGAACGTTCTTGTGTATTTGTAGCAGAACAAGCTTATGGTAGCCCATCTTGAGTCCACCCGTCCAAGCAGACAGCGGACATTTATTTTCTACATATTTATGCACGCCTTAGACCGCCTGTGGTCTAATGATCAGGGTTCTTGGCTACATATCCAGAGGGCCCGGGTTCGATTCCCGGCGCTACCAGATTTTCTTAGAAATAGCGGGCCTGGAACGGGGTCCACTCCGCATCGTGAGGATAATTGAAGAGATATTTCTAGGAAATAGGAAACCGAGATTAATGACCGTGGGGATCCTTTGCGCTGACCATGCGACACCCTCTATCCGCTAAAGTTGGCACTAACTTCGACGACAAGTGGCGGTCGCTCGGTCGGTACAGTTCACTTGCGGACTGCAGACGACGGAGTTTGTGCATGTCTTACCCGCTAATAACTTTCAAATCAGTAGACGGATTTTCACGAAAGTTAGTGTAAACACCATGCAGCTATAGGTCACGCCATCTTGCTTGTATACCTGCAATTCATTTTCCCCTCAACGTAAATATTAGCAGTTATTACATCAACATGGCAGCTATGCGAACTTAAGAATCTTTTTATGTAGAACCCACAAGTTATATATTAGGATAAGCTTTAGAGAAATATCCATATTTCGTTGATGTGCCCTTCTTTCACATTGTGAATTAAAGAAACGTTGACTGCACCAACTCTACACTTAGCTTTCGTTTCATGGTTAGGCTCATGGGCCGGAAACATACTGACATTTGATATGAAGAGTGTCAATATGGAGTAGTTCGTTATAGGCTTGCATGAAAAATTAGTCTACAACTACAAATAGGCCTCCTGTTGGAAGGTTTTGATGTTAAATCTGCCAACTTCCAGCTTGTGGATATCTACTTACAGACCTATTTATCATAGAGCAGAAAAAAAAGAAGTAAAGCTATCCCTGTACCAGGACGTAAAGGCCCATAGGGTTGTGAGACGTTGAGGGTCCCACATTATCTAGACAGTCGGCTCAAAGATGGCGGTAAGGTTGTCAGCCTTACACGGCTGCCGCGCTTTTTTTTTCCCCCTTGGCACTAAGGTCCCAGTGGGCCTAGGCCTACCTCCATGAACTTCTCCGTTCACTTCGGTTTTTCTAAATCTTACACGTTCGGTAGGACTCCTTGGGCGGGTGATCAGCTCGTCGCAAGGTCTCGACCTGTACACAAACACAGAAAAACGCACACACACAAACTAAACATCCATGCCCTGACTGAGATTCGAACCCACGATCCCGGTTTCCAAGCGAGCGAAGACAGTACATGCCTTAGACCGCACGGCTACCGTGACCGGCCGGCCGCGCTTTAATCCGCAGGAAATCTATGTAGCGTCTATGTAGGCTCTATGCTACAAGCTGGAAGGTCGCGGGTTCAAGTCCCGATGAGGTCACTAGATTTTTTTCAATTAACCTAATCCTTCCAGCCGCACTATGGCCCTGGGGTGGACTCAACCTCTAACAGAAATGAGTACCAGGAATTTACCAAAGAGCAGGCAGAAAAACTGATTATTTAGTTATCTCATCATTATTTATGTGATATCCTGCGCACACTGGTGGAAGATATAAAGGAACGCTTCGTTCCCGAACTTTTCTGTTAGAGGTACTGAACAACAAGCGTGAAGGGAATTCATTCCATTAATCTGAGAGGCATGAATACAAATCAGTTCAGCGACTTCTTTCGCACACGTGACGACACTGCCAAATAAATGCTGTCTCTTATTACAGTCATATGACAATCATTTATGAATACGACCTAAATGTTAGCGTCACAGATTAGGAATCGTTTCTACAAGATTTGACACGACTGTCCATCTCTTCTTCGGTCACGTGACGAGCAGCAACTCTGCAGATGCCTCTCACAGCAGACAAAAGCTCTGTAGCGATGTATACATGCATCTAGAAAGGCAGGGGCGGAGGGGGTTCTGTTATTATTGCTAATGGTTACTGTGATTTTTTCTTTCGTCGTCCTTCATACAAAGGATCGTAAAATTCAATAAGAGCCTGTAGACGCCTTCGTAACTAGTATTCTGAACACACCCCTTCTACGGATCCTTATTGGTCCGCAGTCGACGCTCTGTCAGTAGTCACCAATGAGAGGCCAAGGGCGGGAAGAAGCGTCCGCCATTACCATATGGATCTTCCGGGCGAATCACGTGTCAGTAGGGGTCCTCATGCTAGTGTTGTCCCCTCGATAATGGACCCGTCACTATCAGCCCCACCTCCCAGTGTATCATTGAATGTCACGTCAGAGATTACCCCCCCGACAGGATTCAACAATGGGATCTGTTTGTGTGTACTGCCCCGCTTCAAGTAGCGATACTAGTTAATGTCACCCATCCCAACAGGCGCATAAAAATCTCGTTCCCTTCTCAAAGGGGGATATAAAATGTTTTTGTGTCCGTCAGGTTTTCTTTATTTTACAATGAGACAAAATGCGTTGGGCCTACTGCAGTTCAGAGTAGCCTATACATTTTCCTACCAACTTTATTGAACAGCTGGTCAAGATATTCTGTGATGCGATACCGTTCAGTGTGACACTTACGAAACTACACAGTGTCACACCGCAGAAAACATCAACTTTCATATTCACCGCCGTGAGAACTCAAAACTCAAATATATTTTGCAATCCATAACTAACTTTGCTTTGGAATGTGCTATTAGGAAGGTCCAGGAACTAAGGTGGGACAGAAATTAAACGGGAATCAACAGCTGCTGGTCTATGCTGATGATGTGAATCTACTGGGTGATAATATAAATACCATAAAGAAAAACACAGAAACTTTAATCGACGGTATTAAGGAGGTTGGTCTAGAAGTAAACACAGAGGAAACAAAGTATATGTTGCTGCCTCGTCACCAGAATGCGGGCAAAATCATGACATAAAGACAGGAAACACATGTTTTGAAAATGTGACACAATTCAGATATTTGGGAACGACGATAACAAATCAAAACCGGATTCAGGAGGAAATTAAGAGGAGATTGAACTCGGGTAATGCTTGCTACCATTCAGTCCAGAACCTTTTGTCTTCTCGTCTGTTGTCCAAAAACATAAAAATTAGAATATAAAAAACTGTAAATTTGCCTTTGGTTCTGTATTGGTGTGAAACTTGGTCTCTGACATTAAGGGAGGAACATAGATTAAGGGTGCTTGAGAACAGGGTGTTGAGAATATCTGGACCAAGGAGATATGAAGTGACGGGAGGTTGGAGACAACTACATAATGAGGAACTCAATAACTTGTACTGTTCACCAAGTTAGCTAACTCAGTCAATATTCTTACAGCCTATCGCATTTCCTGACCTTAAGAGGCTATTCTCCCATTTAAGCTTATGCCTACTAAGAAATCCCTTCCCCTCCATCTCCCGACTAAAGTTTTGTAGGTCTGTAGACTAAGTCACATTTCTCATCTCACCATACGTGCTACATGTCCTGCTCGTCACATTATCCTCCTTCGTTTGTTCATCCTAATAGTTCAAGTCCCGATGAGGTCGTTGGATTTCTTTCAGTTGACCTAATCCTTCCAGCCGCACTAGGCCCTGGGGTTTACTTAGCCTCTAACAGAAATGAGTACCAGGAATTAATTAAATAATTCTCCTGGAGAGTAAAGTGCGGCCGACGCGTAAGGCTGACAACCTTACCACCATCTTTGAGCCGATTGTCTAGATAATGTGGGGCCCTCAACGTCTCACAACCCTATGGGCCTTCACGGCCTGGTACAGGGATAGCTTTACTTTTACTTACTGTACTTTAATAGTTACAGCAAAAAAATCTGTTGAACAGGCATTTTAATTGTAAAGCTCCTCATTATATTTTTTTTTCATTTTCCCGTTATTTACTTTCCCTTGGATCTCTCAATACGCCTCTTGTGCCTTCAATCGCCCTTCTTCTCCTTGAGGGAGTGATCAAGTTTCATATCCACAGGACTTCAGCGCTCTTAATTGGAACTCAGATAACCAAAACGTTCCTGCTTTAACAGATCACTAGGCAAAAAGCACGGCAGAATTC